CATCAATTACATTCGCAAGCAGGACGCAAGGTTTCTGAACGGAAAAAGCTAAAAGTCTTATTTAGTGATCTCATAGAACGTGCCTATTGCTCCTCTGAATGAATTCAGCACGCCATTTTTAGTATAACCCTCAACATGGAGCTCAATTACTAACTAATGTGAAAACTTTTACCCGGCTCTCGCTAACGGCAGCCAACTGACGATGAATTGACATCGCTGCGAGAAGACTGGCAGAATCCGAGCAAGAGTAGAGCAGAATCACAGCATCAGCTGCACGCATATAAGACGTATGCGCAACTGAATGATCGTCCTGAATTCATATGAGAAGAAAGTTGTTCGAATAACATTTTGGACAAACTATCGTGAGCTCCTTTTCCTACCTCGAATTCGGCATCTATGAGATCAATAACGAACATACGGTGGCGAGTTTCCACAGTCTGAAAAAGGAAGTAATTTCCTCATTTATAGCATATCAAAGTTTCAGAATAAAACAGCAGGTGGAAACCAACCTAATAAACAGAAAGCAGCGCACTATGCAGTAATAAATAGTTGGTTTTCCGCGTTTCTTCGGTTGAATATGAAGGAGCCAAGAGTTTTAAGCGAGGGAATTTGTATGGAGGTGGCGGATCTCCCTACCAAATAACCTCAGCAGGCAAAATTAGACACATTAATCATGGCATGGTTATCGTCGATTCAAAAGCTAATTATAGGTCCAGTGCCCTCTCATTACGAAATGCTTTTTAAGAGACATTTCACGGCTACTGACAGGTATATCCTTTCCCGAGTGAAAATGTCAGTAGGTCAGCAGCAATGAAGGGTGTACGAATTTTGCGAGTTGATGGAAAGTTGCAAGGCTGCCAGAGCTTTGGGACGTACTGATGCCTCCACCCACTGATGGAAGCTCCCGCCTATTTTTCAAATTTTGCGCTTCCTTCGTGCTTTCACTGGTGTTCCCGCGGCGCTGGCCCGTTGTCTGGTCTCTCGTTCGTGCTTGCAGTGCCTTCTCGCTTCCCTTCACTTTCGAAACTGAAAATCTATTGCGATAAGTCTAGAGAATTTAAGGTGATTTCTTTCGCTGCCGAGGACACGCTCCACGACTATAATTCATGAGCCAGAGGCCGAAACCCAAATTCCTAGGTGCCAGCTAGCCCAGCAGTAAAGAAAAGATTGGACAAAACTGTAGAATACGCCCTAAATGAGGTCCTTACTTCCAAGCAGCGAGACACTGTCGTGCGGGAGACGGAAAAGAGAAAGAAGTAGCAGAGTACACGAAAGCAACTTCAAAAATGAGCAAGACAGCAAATGTCAGTCTTAGGCATTGTTCATACTCTGCGGCCCAGCGTTTTCTAGAAAGAAACGCTTCAGCGAAAAGCTTTCGATACGTATCGATTGGCGGTTGGCGAAGTCTGGCGGTTGCGCGAAATGTTTCGATACGTATCGACGGGCGGTTCGGCGAAGCGGTTGGGCGAAAAGCGCTAGGCCGACCATCCCTGGCGTTTTTCTCTAGGGCGGAGCCTGCGAAATCGATACGTACCTATTGCTTTTTGCCCAATCGCTGAACCGCGGCGGTTCGTCGGACGGGGCGATTGGCGATTCTCTGAGCAATGAGTATTTTTTTTGCTTTTCACCGAGCCGGCCGTCTGTCAGGGTCTCAGAATTTGACAATGCCATACACAGAAAGAACGTAACCCATTTCGTAGATGTAGGACCGCTGGCATTCTTGCTCGAGCTGGGAAACGGAACTTTCTGCGGTGGCTAACCATCAGCTTATGACAGCCACAGCGCCCTCAGCATCTTTCGCAGTGGACCCGCGTAAGTGAGATAACATCCAAAATTGCGGACCTGGCCACTTCTACAAGAAAGAGAAACAATCAGTCAGAAAACCGTGGGTATGTCTTTCGGTCAGATTGGATCTCAAAAGACGTATTTATTACCCTTTACCCGTATTCATTACCCATGATTTGCACCACAGAATGTGGCTTGAAACAGGGTCAAGCTGTGTCAACTACACGGTAGACAAGGAAGTTAGGTCACCTAATAGAAATATTGAATTTTGAAAGTAAAAGCAAAGCAACAACTGCCACTCACAATACTTGTCATATGTGCGAATCTGTATTCAGCATGATTATTCTTTCCACCAAGACGCATTCTTTCTGTGAGTCCCAATGGAGCGATGCTATGGCGTCCCTCGCATGATAACGTCGCAATGTCCAGCTGAAACAAAGTCAGCTT